AACACTGTGGGAGGGGGAGGTGTTTATATAAAAGATGGGTGGAATGAATGGGGAATGGACATCGAACAACCGTGGGGACATTGTCCCTCTGTCCCCACACTTCCGCAGCCACTGGCTAAACATGAAACTCTTGATTACCTTATGTGACTGTACTTGACCATCGGAACAAACTATTGTGCAATCTACGAGTTGGTTTTTGGACAAGAGATTTGCACACTTTTGGAAAAAGTTGTTTGCATGGGACAAATCGTTGGATCCAATTTCAAAGACGGTTTCTTTCTCCATATTTATGTAGCTATGAAGAGACGATTTTGAAAACCTCTAGATAGGAAACCAAGAACAATTAGTACAGCAGTAATTTCTAAAAAAAAATGCATATGCAGCTGGTGTGTAGATAACGTTCGCAAACTTCATAACGCAATTTTTTTTGTTTTGACATCCAATCCACCCACCCCCTTTTGACACGATATTATTGGGCCCTGACCACCCACCCATTCCTGCGTTATGAAGTTTACGAACTTCCCTTATGTTTTGGGGCAGCTAAAATCTACGGCCAAGCTACACTGGGCAGTTGAGAAACTGCAATATTTTCACAATTCTGAGAAATACCCAGTCTCAAGTTTCCTTCAATTCGCAAGTTGCGAATCGCAACTCATACTGAATTCGAGTTTGCTTTCACCACTGCATTTTTCTGCCGTGTTTTTTTTGCGTACCTTAATAATTTATTACAAACCTAGATGTATGAGAATTTGACTTACTTACCTTTAAAACCTGACACAATTTTGATTTCCTCTCCGATTTTGCAGCCTTATTATTATGCACTCGATAACAATGCTTATTGTTTGAATAATGTTGAATTCGGTCGGACTTGTGATGATTTGTGTGCAACCTTGTTGGCTGGATTGGTTGGATGGTTTGTTTGGTTGAATTTTGGTGGAGCCGAATAAGGGGAACTTCATATACATGAAGAAGAGGGGGACCCACGGACCCCTTCCTTCACTTCTCATACATATATCCAATCCAACTGCATGCAACCAAGCACCAAACACGTTGTTTCCTATGCAATATTATAAACCAACCTTTAAACCTCGTGTATATACGAGAAAACCAAGTTTTAGTAATCTTCTTCCTTTACGGGAGTCTCCCCACAAGAACCAACGCAACCCAACCAACTTATCCTCTTAAACATCCATCCATCTCCCCTTCTTCGGATGCATGGGTCCATTTTTATGGCCATACTGCTGTGGTCCCCCATGTAACTGCAGTGGCCGCGGAAGCCGTGGGGACATGTGGGGACATTTTCATTTTCCCTGTGTCCCCACGCTTCCGCGGCCACTGTGTAACTGGTCTGGTCGGCATATGCATCTTCTTATTACACTTTTTGTGAAAATCCCCTCTCAACAAATTCCAGGGAGAGGGGAGTTGGTTCCCCATTTCATAATATAGGAGAGGAGGGGGATATAGTAAATTCTGTTAGTGGGCTCTGTCTCATTCTCAGTTTAATAACACGACGATGGTAAAGTAAAGCCAACCAACTTGTTTTTGCCTTTTTTTCGTTTGAAGGATGAGTAAAATGAGATAGACTGAACTGAACCCCCTCCGGACTTTGCACCATTATGGTTTTCCTCCTTCTCTCCTCTGCTTAAGCTGAATAATAAGGATTGACGCTTCTTCTTTTGAATACTTTTTTGTAGCTTTGTGGGTTAAAGAGTATAATAAAAAAGGAATAAGGAAATGTTTCTCGGGCATATGCATTGTTTGGTTGAGGAGAATAAAATATATGTACGTATTTGCATGGAACAGTTTCAGTATGTCTTTTTATTTTCATCTTTTGTATAATGCAGATTGTAGGTACGTATGTCTTTGAACTACATATATGCAGTGGCCGCGGAAGGGTGTGGGCAATGTCCCCACGGTTATTCGATGTCCGCATCATCTCCTCATCTTATATAAACCCGTCCCTCCCCCATATTACAAGGAAAATGTCCCCACACCTTCCGCGGCCACTGACCTGACTACATGTATGTACCATTGTTTATTACAGAATACACTGACAAAAGTATATTTAAGTAAATGTCCCCAGATGTCCCCACGGCTTCCGCGGCTACTGACTCTACATGTACCATTATTTATATATGTAATTTTCTGACAAAAGTTTACATTTAAGTAGTAACAAGTTGAAAATTTAATCATTATTCAAGTCGAATTATTAAGTAATTTTCTCCTCTCCCAATTAAAACACTTCTTCAATGAACGAATCATCATCCGCAGTGAGATGGGATCTTTCAATTTCGAGAATATCCTTCTCCAGATCCTTATCAAGTGATGATAACTCCTTTTCTCCTCCTTTCTTCGGGCTGGAAGGTGGTTTTGCATTTTCATTCCTGGATCCAGCAGCAGCTACCTTATCGACTGATAAGGTAGCCGTAGGTTCAGGCAAATTCTGCAGTGAAAGTACAGCCTTTCTCAAATTGTCCAAGTCTCTCTCGGCCCCAGCTGCCCTTTTTCGCTCGATCGAATGCTGGCTTTCCCATCCGAGCACTTTTATCACTTCAGTCATCCACTTACCGCATTGCTAAAAGAGAATGGAAACAAAAAAATGTGTAATAATCATTACCATCATTTCTGTAATTGGCTCGTAAAAATTCATAAATGTTCCTTCTCAATCTACCTCGAGGGTGAAGTGAATAAAGGGAAAATGGTGAAGTGAAAGTCGTCGTCGTCGGTAATTGACTTGTGAGCACTTTTACATACCTCCTTTTTTTGTCTTGATTGTATTTGTAGACTCGTTTGCTAAATTGGCACAGGGCACTTTCTTTCTATGCATTTGAAAGGTTGATCTCTCTACTTTCTCTCTGTTTCCACCTTTTTTTATTGGTGGGCAGAATTTGGTAGGATACGTATGTATTTAGAATGACTTTCATTCGTAATAATGCTAATGAGCATTTTTATTACGTAATATGTGTTATGTCATTCAGTGGCGGCGGAAGTTGGGGGGACATGTGGGGACATTAGCATTGTGGGATTATTGAGGAGAATGGGCTTATTAACATGGGAAAGAATGGCCAGATACAATTTTGCTGAATTTCTCGGGGGACAATGTCCCCTGTCCTCCCTCTGCTTCCGCCGCCACTGATGTAATGTGTAGGAAAGTTATTGATAGTAGGAGAATCTACCCATTTTCTATAAAGAACTGGAGGAATAATATTCTACATGGTGATCCTTGGCTGAAGTTTTTACTAAAGTCGAAAAATTTTACACTTTCCAAATTTACTGTGGTCGCTTTCTCCTCTTCGGATGCAAATATCTCTGCGAAACGTGCCCATTGGGAGATCGTGTCTTTTCCAAATTTCATACTAATTACATTGATGATCGATTGACACTATAGTTTGGTCAAAATCGGAGAGCATCCGCTGGGAGACCTCCATTGTTGTAAGTGAAAGTCGTTTATTCGAGTATACATGAGATAGATTGTCTTTCCGAAAATGAGGTCCCAAACAAAAATTTACCCAAATTTTAAAAATCTTACCATCAACTCTTCCAAATGCGTTTCCAATGAAATATCTCCACAACTGCGGCGAAGTTGTGAAAGCATGAAGACTGCGGCTTGGAGTTCATAAATGATCAAAGCTCTCAACCTATTGTAGCCTGCAGGCGGATAAATAGATAATCAGTAAATATATAAATTTCCAATTTTTAAAATAAGATTCCTGGAAACCTGGATAAATTATGTTGAGCGTGACCAAAAGTTCTTCACAGAGGTTAATCTTCCTCACGAGATTTTTCGGACTCATCATATGCAACGGCTCCTCACTCGTCCGTCCGTAAAGCTGGGCCAGCTCTACTTTCACCTCCAACAAGTAAAAGTGATTGGGCGACAAGGTTTTCGAAAATTGTTTCACAAAGTCTTCCTTGGCCGCGATGTCGCCGATTTTGTCGTGAAGTTGGTCCATCTCTTGACCAGCTTTCTGGATCAGAGAGTTGACATAGGCGACGTTGTAGTCTTCCTTGCACGTCAAACATTTCCAATCTCCGTCCGGTTTGAAGGGATCGAGTGGAGCGACCAGGCCACGTTTTTCGGAGGTCGGGATATTCATACATTTCAAGTGTTGACACCGGAGCGAGCTGACGTGACATCCGAGCTCGGTCGGATCCTTGCACCGGTCACAGTGGCACGTGAAGAATTTCGTCATTCGGAGGAGAGATAGTCGATCGGCGGTGCCCCATAAAGGGTCCACCTGGATAATTTGTAAAATATTTAAGGGACCGGTCATGAATTATGTCACGTGAGAGGAGGGTTCAAGGATATTGTGCCTATATGACGCATGTTAATGGGGGGAGGGTCTAGAAATTCGTGAGTTTTTGCGTGACATAATTTATGGACTTCCCCTTAATTAAAAAACGCTTAATTTAGGATATTCGATGACTTATTGCCAAAATTATCAAAATCAGCGCATTTTTAATCATTTCTTCGCTCTGGGAATTTATATTAAAATTCGTAAAGCAGGGAGTTGCCAGTTTTTAACCAGCTTTGATGAATTCCAGTTTTTCTTAAGGCGGCTTCTTAAACTTGAGATCTCCTCCTTCAAAAATGGTCAAAATCTGGAGTGCAAATTTTTAATAGATTGACAACGACCTGTCCTACAAATTTGTCGTTCAGAATTTTAAAATAAATTCTCAGAGTCTAGAAACGATTAAAAATATGCTGATTTTCACGATTTTGGTGATGAATCCCACGTGAGTTTATTACATAGCTGATTGAAAGATGATCTCCCTTCTTGATGGGTGTACTGGCTCGAATCACAATTTCTTTAGTGCTCAAATCCCACGTTTTGACACAGTTTGGACGACAATTATGCTCCAGATAGGAAGAGTTATGGTACACACCTACATATGCAAATCCATAATTTTACGTAAACTGCTTTTATGGGGCAACTTTCCCTTTGTCATGAGTGAAAGCAGTGGCCGCGGAAGCAGAGGGTCAATATTCCCACGGTTCTTTGATGTCCCCATCATCTCCCCATCTTATACAAACCCCTCCCTCCCCCTCCCCTATCCTAAATACATACAATATTAATGTCCCCACATGTCCCCACAGCTTCCGCGGCCACTGGTCACAAGTGAAAGTAGTAAACTTAATTTTGTCTCTCGTTTCATACCAATAACTCGCCTGTTGATATGCCCATCGAGATCCGGGATGGGAATTTCGTGCCCGTTCGTCTCAATTATTCCGATAAGTTTGACAATCCATTCCTCCGTTACGTCCGTTCTTTGGAAGAAATCATGAATTAGCTTCACACCTGCTGCCGGCTTGAGTTCGGTGCTGTTACTCGTGGAACTGCCACCAGGTCCCCCGCCACCACCTTCCTCGGCCTCCATGGCTTTAACGAATTCCTCCCGTTTTTCCACATTTGCTTCGAGATTCACCAGTTTCTCGAAGACGTCAGGATTCTTATCTTTGAGTCCGAGCGCTCGCAAGATTCCGATCAGTTGATAGAGCGGATGTTCACCGTCGGCATATTTAATCGTAACCTTTCCCCTCGATTTGGCCAAGGCGCACTCGGCCTTATGATCCTGGGAGTTGCAACAAAGTGGAGATTTGCACATGGGAAAGCCGCATCCATTCTGGCAAGCGTGCGGTTTGACGCCTTTACCGTCTGAAATTGAGAGATGAACAGAGGGCGGATATGTATTTAAGCATTTTTTCCCCTAAACTATCCAAAAAACTTCAAAATATTTTTTTTACATATTGTCACACATTTCTAGGTTTGCATATATACATATAAATATTTATAACTATGCTTTGAAAAATGCGTAGATCATTTAAATATTAAAAAACCTACTCCAAGCAACTTTGCGGGGCCTTTTAAGATGGCATTGATAACTGAAAGTCGAACTCCTAATATCAAATATGTGATATATTATTAACTTCGTGCTAAATTTCAGCCTCCCACGACAAATTTGAAACGTTTCTATGGCATTTAAATTTTGTTACGGTCCACCCGATCCACCTAAACGACCCCCACCGACCAACCACTTGACCGATCATGCCCATCTCCGAACTCAACCTTACAATTTGCCCAAAGATGAAGTATGCAAAATTTCAGGTCAATAGCTTTTGTTTAAAGAGAGTTATCGTGCCTACAGACGGATAGACGGACGGACAGACAGACATCTTGACAAATCTATAAGGCCATCTTAAAAGGCCTAAAAATACATATACACATTTTTCAAATTTTTCTAGGGTGTGAGACGAAATTTTTCTGTTAAAAAAAATTGTACCACAAAAAATCCACTTCAAAATTACAAGTTTTGAGAAAATTCTTATTTTTTGGTACAAACATATTTCGTAAATATTTTGGAATTTTTTCGTAAATATTAAATCCATATTTCATCTTTTTTTCCTAAATACATATCAGCTCTCTGGACCTTACATACATACTTGTGCGATCGTGAGATTAAGCAAATTGGGCAATTCTTCATGCTTCACATAGTGTTGCATTTTGTATGTAACAGATGCACATGCAATATCCAACAATACAGTGGCCGCGGAAGCGTGAGGGGAAGAGGGACAATGTTCTTCCCGGGTATTTAATGTCCGCATCATCTGCCTATCTTATATAAACCCCGCCCTGCCCCACCCCACAATTTTACCGTCCCCATATGTCCCCACAGCTTCTGCGGCCACTGCCAACGAATACATATTTTCTAATATATTTACTCTTCCTAAAATTGCATACCATCCGTCACCACTCCATCCGGCTTGAATTCACTGTAACAACCGAGACAGACCGGAAGGGTGATTTTCGGAGGGGTGATAATCAGAGGTTTTTCTTGCATAATAATTTCTCCCGGCTTGACATCCCTCACGGCGATGAGGAATCGACCCAGCCGCTTATTTTCCGACACCTTCCACCCACAACAGTCCCCCTTGTGATCCTTCCAGTGCAACTTTTGATGCTCTTTCGAACAATAGCCGACTTTCTGGCAGCCGCCGCATCTCGACACGGCGGGGACGGGACAATCGTGAACACCACATTTGAAGTTGTTCTTGTTCGAGTCGTCCTTTGAAATTGAAATGGAATCACTTTCTGGATTCTCTTTCTTTTCAGAAGCCGGCTTTGTCACGTTCTTCGCTGCTGCTGCGGTTTTTGCCTTGGATGCTTTCCCCATTATTATTTGCTGCTGCTTTCTTCGTTCGCGTGTACAGCAGGGTTTCTCCTTGTAAAAAAACGCATGCATGAAATTATTGAACAGAAAATGTTTTTACAAGTTTAATAACGCACACCAAAAATTGGGAAAATGCATAACAAACATTTAAGTGTAAATAATATTGTAATTTTTCTAAATATTTGATCATGAAAATTTGATTAAGAAATCATGGGGCCATTTTATGGTACGTTTAATAAAACCAACCAAAAATCTGGAAAAGTACATGAAAATGCACGAGAATGCATAAAAATTATTCATATAAGAGTAAATAATATTGTAATATTGTAATTTTTCTAAATATTTGATTAACTATAGTAAGAAATCGTTGTTGTGCTATTTTATGGTATTTTCCTCATCATTTTAGTATTTTAGTGTCAAACAGTTTTTTTTCAGTTTTAGGCCTTTTAAGATGGCCTTATAGATTTGTCAGGATGTCTGTCTGTCCGTCCGTCTGTCTGTACGCATGATAACTCTCTTTAAACACATTTTATCGACTTGAAATTTTGTACACTTGATCTTCGGATCAAAGGCAAGGATGAGTTCGAAGATGGGCATGATCGGCAAAGTGGTTGGCCGGTGGGGGTCTTTTCCACCCAAATGTGTTGTCATTAACCACCAAGATGGTATTAATGCCATCTTAAAAGGCCCCGCAAAGTTGCTTGGAGTAGGTTTTTAATATGAAAAATTAATGAAAGTGACCCTGGTGGAATTATAACTAGAAATTGAGATAATCTTGTCCCAATTTGACAGGGTAGGAAAATATAAAATTTCTTCAAAATATGAAATTTCATACATGAATTGCATGATTTGCGTTTTTATAGATTTTTGTGCATTTTACGCGTTTTTATGCTTTATGCACGATAAACGCATAAGGGGGCGTCCATAAATCACGTGATCGATTTTTGGACAATTTTGACCCCCTCCCCCCCCCTAGTGACATTTGGTGATAATTTCGCTACCCCGCCCCCCCACCGGTCACGTGACAGGAGATGATGACTCAAATTAAATCATGTCCGGAATATATTCCGGACAACATGATTTAATTTTGGGCATTCCCTAGCAGGGGAATGTACTCGAAAAAAAGTAAAACTGGTTACCCTCCTCCAAAATTGTCTATGCAACTTTATACAGTATGGATGCTTGATTTTTACCCCGAATAAAGGTGTTTTTTTACACGGAATCAAGTACAGATTGCTAAGAGTGTAGCAATATTAGTCCAGTGTTTTTTAAATCATCAATCAAATTAAAGCTACACACATGTGTAAATAACTCCATCTTTAAAACGCCAGTCAGACAAGAATTTTAAGTCGAAGCAAGTTTCTAAATGTGCAAAATGAAAATCAAATCTATATAACGTGCGTGTGGTATGCCAAGAGAGTTTATATATAACTCTGATGACATTTATTGGCATATACAAAAGTTAAACAAAACTTTACTCATGTCACGTGACATCTGACCATCTACCCCCCCCCTGTGATAATTGGTGATAAATTTCAGACCCCTCCCCCCCCTCTAATCGATCACGTGATTTATGGACGCTCCCTAAAAGAACTACAAATTTAGAGAATTGAATCTTGCCCCCATGAAAATATGAAGTTTCTTCAAAATATGAAATGATTTCCCTACATGTTCTACAATTTTATGGATCTTTATGGATTTTTATGCACCATGCAAGCATAAAAATAATATTGTAACAGAAACCCTGGTGTAGAGCAATAGTCAGTCACACGCTCTTCACTTTTGTCCCCAAATTCTTCTCTGTATGGGGGACAGAGGAGAGATAAGAAATTGAGTGAAGCCTTGTATGAAGAGAGAAAGAAATTTAAAGAAAATGCGGATGCAGTCAACAGTTGCCACTTGAAAATGAAATAAACTCGTGCAATAAATCTTGAATGGAGGGATGGATGGATATGTGTGATCGTGTCCTCGGCTAATATTTCTTCCTTCACAATAACCCAATTCATGAGATTATTTTGTTGGGAAGGGTAGTTTCCTACGTACAAGGGAGGTCTCCCAGCGTATGCTCGCCGATTTTGAGCAAACCAGTGGGAATCGATCACAAATTTAATTAGCATGGAATTTGCGAAAGGCACAACCTCCAAATGAGCATATTTAGCAGAGATATTTGCATCCGATGAGGAGAAAGCGCGCTTTAAAGTTGACAAATTTTACACTAATTTACTGCGCATTTTCTCCTCTTCGGATGAAAATATCTCTGTTAAACTTGAACAAACTAGTGTCAGACGATCGCAAATTTGATTAGTATGAAATTTGAAAAAGGCATGATCTCCCAATGGGCACTCCGGAGCAATTTGCATCCGGAGAGGAGAAAGCACGCAGCAAATTTGGAAAGTGTAAAATTTGTCAACTTGAAGTCGCGCTTTCTCCTCTTTTGATGCAAACATCTGTGCCAAACGTGCCCATTGGGAGATCGCGTCTTTCGCAAATTTCATCCTAATTAAATTTGTCATCGATTGATATTATTTTGCTCAAAATAGGAAAGCATATGCTGAGAGTCCTCCCTTGTTAGTTTAAGAGGGTTGATACCAGCAAATTGTATTACTTTGTGTAGGAAAAAGATTGGAAAAAAAAATCTGCTCCAAATAAATATCACTCTGTAAGGTTTTGACAAATATCAATTGATCGTGGTGAAAGTGAAAAAGTAAGAAAAGCGGTTATACCACCAAAACCAACACTTACATATTTTGAAGAAGGTCAACAAAATTTTGAAAATTCAACAAACTTTTGAGACTTTAAAGTAGAAACCTACCAGTAAACCACCGCATTTAGAATCACGAAAGTTCACTTAAACAAATGTTTACTCATGTTATTGGATGGCACACGCGTGGGTCATATTCATCATATGAATTTATTTTGAACGTATACTATATCTTGGCATATTTGCATATTTACATACACCAGGCTGTTCGTGGAATTTAAAAAATTCAATTTGTGATCCAAAACGATGTCAAGTTTGCCACTTTCATTGCGTGGGGTACATATCATTTGAATAGTAAATTGTACACTTTGCATAAGTAGACGGGAGAAAATCACTCACAAGTCGGCAGAAGAACTTGAAGGGAAAGTGAGTAAAGTGAAAGTGTCATCGTTCGTCCCCCTCTTCTGGTCGTGTGTGTGTGTACATATGCACAATAAAATTAAATGTTAAAGGTTTCTGCTGCTACAGAAAAAACATATTTCGACGAGGTGTCGTCCTTTTATCTGACTAACGGTCATGATGACATCACACGCGATACCAAAATTTCGAAATGGTCTGCTCCGTCCAAATACAAGATCTTCACAAGCAGGCCGAACAACATGATCCACTACTAACACACTCCGCGGAAGCCGTGGGGACATTAACATTGTAGGATATGAGAGAGATAACTATAAGAGAGAGAGAGAGAGAGATGAGCAGATAATGTGGACATCGAATAACCGTGGGGACATTGTCCCTCTGTCCACACCCTTCCGCGGCCACTGTATTTATCTACAATGTGTGTGTGTGATACTGGGATTTCAGATTTGTACTTACCGACTTGTTGCCAGCAATATTGTCCACGTCCAGACTCGAGGGATGGCTGCAAGTAGTTGTTGACTTTCTCAAGTCCGAGTAGTGGTCACTTTCCGGGCGCTGTGGGCACTTCCTCCCTGTCACCAACTTCTTATTATCTTTTATTTGCTACGATTCGACTATTTATTGACAAGATTCGATTATGATGAGGAAATTAGATTTCCTATTTGATCCTCTCCTTTTAGTCAACAGCCTTGAGGAGGCTGTAACCGTAACGAAAAACTGAGATGATCAAAATAAATATGTGTTTTTGAACATGCTCTCATTCCTAATTCAAAACTAGCCGGTTTTCCGAACGGGAAAATGCTCGAAAGTTTTTTTACGCACACGACGAATAAGTGCAACGCTCTCTTTAATGTTATAGTTTTGGTTGTATGCAAAGCATGGTTTTCTATTTTTAGAGTTGTCTACCAACAACCCGGATTTTAAGCAGAGAAGAGTCTGGATCATAATATTGACAAGAAATCTTATAACAACTTTTATTATTTTTATTATTCCAATAATTACTGCATAACATGTAAAATTTGCTTGCTTTTTATGAAGTACAGAATACTACACGTCCTAAATATGTTCTTATAATTGTTAAAGTTAACAAACTTTATGAATTTGTATACAAAAGCTCAGGTTTTTTTCTAATTAGTCGATTCGATCACATCCCAAAAAACTTTTACAATTAGTCTAATACAAATTATTCTAATCATTATTATTCAAAAATTAAGATATTAAATACTATTTGTTTGTGTGCAAAGTATTAACAAATTTTGGTATAAAACTGATACTTTAGATTAGAAGGCAGTGTCCACTACATGATTTGCAATTACATTTTTTATACATGGTAAAATACATGCGTAGTCAAATTAGTGCTTTATTTATTCTAATATCTATAAATAGTTCGGGACTCATAATAAATGTATACATAAATAAAGTAGAAAAACTTTCTACTACCTATTTTGAATAAATAAAAATTGTAAATCTTTTCTTAAGCTCACTCAACTATGGGTATTATGCTAATAAATACTTACATATTTCGTGCTTTTAAGCCTAGTACTTCGGACAGATTTTTCACGCGAAACGACAAGTTCTTACTCCTTCGCTGAAATTACTTGAATTTCCTACAACGTGTATCAAATCGAAGTGTTTCTTTAATCAATGTAAAATGAACTTAATGTGGCGTTTATGCTTCACGTATCGTCACGTCTCCTCTGTTGGCTGAGCGAAATTATCACTACGCCACTTAAAAATTTCGACCCATCAAAAAATCGGATTTAGAGGAGAACATGCGAAGACGTAAGCATAAACGCCACTTAGTCTATTTTTTCCGTTTTGTTACACTTTTTGACGTGAAAATCTTCCTGGTACTGCGCTTATAATGCAATATTTACTTTCAAAACCGTTCGTTGCTACAAATATGCGAGTTTTTTGTGGCGTCTAAAAAAAAAGCGTGCTCATGACATGAAGAACGAACATATTTAAAGAAGACGACGAGAGACGAGAGAGAAAGAAATTAGTGTTGTTTGTTCGTAATAATAATATAATAGCGGTTGAATGATAATACGTACGAATTTCCCAAGCGGTTAGATTTCGGTTGCTTGCAGAGTTCTCTTAATTAAAACGGGGATTTATGATCGTCTCCTCTAATGAGTGAAGTGAAGGAAGTGAAAGTAGAGGTTTTTTCAGACCTCGTTTACTACTTAAACTACAACATTCGCTTACACAGCAGCGCTCAACATCACAGACAGAATACCACGCCACACAAGTCGTTCGTATGTACTTAAGCATACAAGTTGATTGGAGAAGAAGTAACTGGTAAGTTACAAGGAGGAGAAAGTTGACTGGACGTTACGAAGAATAAAACTTGGCGAATTAAAAGTTACGGAGGAACATTATTATGAGAGAGGAGTTGATGATGCTGGAACAGCAGCAGTGGTACATAGATTACTACGAGCTAGCATGGCGCGGAAGTGGGGGAAGAGGGACAATGTCCCACGTTATTATTCGATATCCCACTAGTATAAACCTTCCTCCATATCCACAATGACATTCCCCACGGCATCCGCGGCCACTGGGATATTACATAGGCAAGTGTATGTATGCATTTGGTTGTACACAAATGTGAATTAAAGTGAGGTTTTCCGGGTGTGGGTGTAGAGGTAATAATTGAAGTGAAGCATGATTACAGAGAGCGGTATGTAGTCAGTCATAGTCTAATCAGTGCCGCGGAAATGTGGGGACATCTGAGAAATTAACTTGTAGGATAGGGGAGTCAGGATTTATGCAAATGATGGGAATCGAATAAACCGTGGGGACAGGTCCCCTTGTCGCTGTGGGGATATCTGGGGCATTAACATTGTAGGATAGAGGACATGATGGGACATAAATAACTCGGACATTTTCCCCTGTCTCCACCTTCGCGGCCCCTACTCTAATAACAATTAAGCACAGTGTATACTATTTAGTGCAGCATGGTTGAAGGT